GAGAAAATTATGTCTATTTGCTGATAACATGATCTTGTATATAGAAAACCCTGGGGAACCCACACTCACACAAAAAGCTTTCTTTAGAGCTAATAAATTAGTTCAGCAAGGTTCCAGGAAACAAGATTAATATACAAAAATCAATTTTATTTTTACATAGTACCAGTGAATAATTGCAAATTGATGTTTTAAAAAATGACAGCAATTTTAATAACATGAAAAATATAAATTAGTTAGGGATACATCTGATAAGAGAAGAGGACATCCTATCTGCTGAAAACTACCAAATATTGCTGAAAGAAATTGAATAAGACTGAAATAAGCAGAGAAATATACTTCATTTATGAGTGAGAGGACTTAATTTGTCAAAGTAATTATTCTTCAAAAATTTGACCTATAGATTCAATGGAATACTAATCATGATCTCACTCAACTTTTTTGTAGAAATTGGTAATCTGTTTCTCAAATTCACACAGGCATACAAAGGACCTAGAATAGCCAAAACAGCCTTGAAAAGAACAACAAAGTTGGAAGGCCACACTGATTTCAAGACATATTATAAAACAATAGTAACCAAGTTAGTGTGATACTGGTATAAAAGTAAGCCACTAGATCATTGGATACTTTTTTCTGAAAACAGAAAAGTGTCCATTAAATTTGCTGCCAGGTGGAGTCATAATTGATCTTGTTCAGATAATATTTGATGGAATGAAGGTAAGAAACCATATTTTAGTAGACTGAGAAGTGAATGAAGGACTCCTGGATAGTATAGGAGAGTGAGTTCATGTGGAAATCCCCTATTCTCTCTGTTTTAAACACAGAAATGGGTTTTTTAATTTTTTACAAATGAGCTTTATGGATCTAAACAAAATGGAACACACAATATTAAGTGGGATTGAAGCATTGGCTAACTGGAGTGAAAAGCAGGCAGTGTTGGCTAACTTTCAACTCCTGCAGGAGAAAATAGACAGGAAGTCCCTGGTGAGTGAGTATCAGGGGATCAGAGCTAGGTGCAATTGTTTGAACAGCTACAGTCTCTTCTTCGAGAATGGTTACTACTGAGCTACTCTCTGGGGTATGGGAGAGAATAGAGAGTGCTACTTGGGCATGGAGCTGAGTTTGGCTCTGGCCTGAAGACAAGATCTGCACCATTCCTACAGGACCAGAGTTCAAACCATCCTGTTACAGCTGGTTCTGAGGGGGAGGTCCCAGAGTACCATTCAGAAGCTTCAGACTGAGGAAAAAATAGCAATAAGACTGTCATACACAAGACGAGTGTGCATACTGAAGTCTCAAAGCACAGGGGGAACACTAACACATAAAAGATAGCCAATAAACTGAAGAAATGGGAGAGAAATGAGAAAGAAATCTGAAAAAGTCTTTGGTATCAGTATATTTAAGATCCTCTAAAAGGAAAAATAAAGAATAACATCTAACCACCCCCCCCAAAAAAACAAAGAAAAAACAGGGTGTATGAAGGGGAAAAATTAGATGGATAGCTATGAATCTGAAACTGATGAATATGAAAAAAAACCTTGAAATTTTGGAAAGGGAAAAAATATATATTTAAAATACAAAATCCTTATAGGTGACATAATTTCTAGACTGGACACAGTCAAAGATGGATAGTAGTGACACTAGAACACAGAGCAGAGACGAAAACTTCCATGACAGCAAATACAAATCACACAAAGAAATGAGTAAAAGTAAGAAAGAACAAGTGTAGACACAGTCAAAGATGGAATTAGTGACACTGGAAGGCATACATGGGAATTTATCCAGAACACAAAGCAGAGATGAAAACTGCCATGAGAGCAAATACAGATCATGCAAAGAAATGAGTGAAAAGTAAGAACCAAATCAGACACTATTCAAGGACACTAGGTATAAAGAAAAACAGGAAAAGGAGGTACTGGCTAGTAGAAGGACTATTTTTGAAATTAGAGCTGTAACTTGCTTATTAAATTACAGGAGGAAAGTTAATAAATTTAATACAAGCAAGAAGGGGATGAGCCAGGAGAAAGGACTGAGATGAGCATGAATGGGTAGACCTGTTGGGACCATATATCCTTGAGATTAGAAGGCGAGGTGGGTATAGATGTGGATGAGTTGAGAGAGAGGCTGGCCTGAAGTTTGGGGAGTTGCCAGTGTTCTATTTCATCCATGAAGTTGGAAATGATAAACTTGAGAATAAGAAATGGACAATGTTGATGGTAAGATAGGTCATTTATTCATTCAACTACTCTTTTTAAATCACCTACAGGATGACATAGCAGTGAACTGAGTGAGGCCCAATGGGATTTAGGCACTCCAGAATTGCTGGAGCCTGCCAAAGCTTTAAAGAGGAGAGGCAAAGACTAACAGAGATTGTGCAATAATAGCATTTTCTCAAGCTGCTTGCCTCTGTTGTACAGGTTGCTTTGACATTGCTAACTAGTAGGATGACTAGAGAGATAGCAGTCTAGGTCAGTCTGAGGTTGGGTGACACAGGGTGGGTAAAATTGAGGTTAAATCCCACTGATCATGAATGAAACCCTACTTTCTTCTATGAGCCAGTGTGATGAGTCATGCTCCTCTTTCTCATGGAGTTTTTTTTTTTTTATTCTCCAGTGGTTCAATTCTGTGAAATCTGTAGAGATGTTTTAGCTGAGGTTCTCTTTTCTCAAAAACTTGTTCATTCATTTAAGAAATTTATAAAGCATCTACTGCATTCTGGGCACCAATCCAGCTGTTTGGAAAATATCAGTGAACTACACAGCAAATGTCCCACCTTCGTGAAGCTTACCTTGTAGTGGGGGGAGACAGGCAATGGGCAGTGAACACATAATGAAGAGTGCATCATACAAACTGTTAAGAGCAGATAGTGCCATGGGAGGAAAGGGAAATTAAAGCAGGGGAAGTGGGTCTGGGATCACAGAGTGGCAGCCTGCACTTTTTGTTGGGTTGGCAAGGACAGGTTTCCATGGGAAGGCGGTGTCTGAGGTGATCAGAAGCAGCCCGAAGCCACCAAGGGGCCATGTGGCTCTCTGGGGGAGAAGAGAGTGGTATATACAGCAGTCTCTGAGGTGACAGAGAGCCTGTGTTGGGGGGAGCAGCCAGGAGGCTGGAGTGGCTGAGAAGAGGAACAAGGGAGAGAACTGGGAAGGGTGTCAAAGAGATTGCCTGGCAGACAGGCTTAGAACTTTCTGGAACACCCTGTCTTCTTACATTGGGTTTGGCAGGGCAATGTGGCAGGCATGTGGAAGCAAGCCAGAGGTGGAGGGGAGCTGTGTGGGACTTGGTAGAAGAATCTAGAGCAGCCCCTGCAGTCTTTCAGGCCCAAGTGATTGTTCTTTCCTCGCCAAGCCACCACTTCTCATTCCAAGGCCAGGGGGCTGGGGTGAAGGAGAGTTCAGACAGCTGGGGAGAGGCAGACAAATGGCCCCAGGAGCATTGTCCAAGTCACGGGTTACCTCGGGCTGATTAAGTGACCCCAGTGGCTTCATCGATCTGCATAGTTACCTAAGTTGGTCTTTTGAAATGTGGGGGCCATGTTGAATGAGGATTTAAACCCACCCCAAACCCTGAATACTTTTAAAACCATAAATCAGTCTTTATATATTTTACCTCCTAGAAACAGAGGACACGGTGAGAGTCCTCTGGGATCTCCCGGTGAAGAACCCGGGATCACATAATCAGATCTCACCCACTTTTCCCACGCAGTGCTGTCAGAAGGAAGAGGCCTGGCTTGCATGTGGAGGGCTGTCATTTGTCGAGCTGTTTCTTCATATGCCAGGGAAGCGCTATTAGGATTTATGAGTAGATTATCTATTCAAGGCATATTTGGGCACTGAGAATATTGTTTTATCGCATGTGTTTTTTCATGTTGCTAAAACCATGAATGCCACGAATTCTGATGGTAGAAAATAAGGACAGTGTGATGTGTAATTGTTCTCTGGGCAACAGTGCAAAAATGACTGAATCTGACTTGCATGATGTTGCATGGGACCCATGGTGAGAAGTGGTATTGGCTGCCACAACCTGTGTCTCCCTTTGGATCACCAGCCCAGCCCACAAGTCACCGTTCCTCTGGTGTGGCTCATTCTGTCCTCCTGTAGGTTTCTTCTGTAATTAGTAAGGAGACAGTTCTTCAAAATCACTAGCACAGGCTACAGCAGGATTAATTTTAATTTGGTGTTGTGTTTAGAAGGGACTTTATGTTTTCAAATGGCAAAGTTTTACAAATGTTATGCCTTTAGACCCCTAACATCCTTAGGAGGCATTTTTGCTGGCAGTAGGGGGCAGATTTGTCATTGTGTGGTTCCTCATGTGTGAATCTATAAACTGTTGCTTCCATGTGTAGGCAAGGCAACAAGCTCAGGCAGATTGAAGGGGGCAGAGTGATGGTTCTCCCCAAGGCTGCAGCTGCCTTTCTGATGTGCCTGTCACCAGCTAAAGCTGCCTCACACACTTGGCTGTAGCTCAGCCAAGTCAAGTACCAAGTGTGCACAAAAGACTGGGTTATAGTTCTGGGGTGGAGATGAATCAGAATTGTGCTCTTGGCAATGATCACCTTACATGCAGTGGTGTCTAAGAGTTCTGGGGCATCTTGGGGCTTCTTCAGGATTCTGTCATGCTTTACTTTCACAAACATTTTAACAAGGGCATTTTAAAAAAACCTTCTGAGTGTCTTAGTTCATCGCAGCAGAGAAAACCATGTAGATGGCTTTATAGGAGACTGGGAACATGCCCATGCTTGTGGCAACCTTGGAAAAGATGTTCTCACTCCTCCTGCAGGCAGGCTGTTTTGTGCCATGGCAGGGCTTTGGGAAGATGGGATGTGTTTTCCCCATTGCTCAGCCTTAGTCTCTCTACCCGTGGAGTGTGGCCAGGTCTGGAGAGACCACAGAGAGAGGTGGTGGGCCCTGGGAAGACGAGCCGAAGCAAAGAGTCTGCTGCGATTGCATTGCAGTTGCAAACTAACCTTCCAACCCCACTCTCTTTCCAATCCCGTGCTCCAGCTGCCCACTCCTCAGCCCAGGCTCAGGACCGACCAACAGCCACCGTGTCGCCCCTGCGCACCCAGAACTCCCCGTCCCGCCTGCCCACCGCCAGCCTCAGGCCCCACTCCGTGGTGTCCCCACAGCACATCCACCAGCCCCAGGTGCAGACGGTCATCGGGGCCCAGTGCCCCCGGCCGGCCATCCCGCTTACGTCTGCAGCGTCAGCCGTCACACCTCCCAATGTCAATGCCGCCAACCTCAACGGGGAGGCTGGAGGGGGGCCTGTCAGTGGCCTGTCGACATCCAGCCCCACCAACACAGGATGCAGACCAGATGAGAAAAAAAATGAGAAGGTAAGTGGCCCATCATGGGCAAGCCCTGGCCATGGCCCAGCTGGTTATTGTAGCTCTTTGGCACCAGACACCAATGACATTTTGTAAAATGAAGGCTTGAATTAGGGTACCAGGTTCCTACCCTCGGATGCATCAGGCCTATGACAGAGATGGAGGTCATACCAGCAGAGCAGCTGTCCTTGGAGTGGAATTCAGGCTGGCCTCAGGTTCTGGTAGGACTGATGCAGGCCCAACTATAGAAAAGATATCACTTCCTCAAGATGCCTTTGCTCTATCTGTTGGAAAATCACTGTAATATATTCATTTTGTTAGAACAAGATATTTATTGCCAAGTACCAGGTTATTATTATATTAAATATACAAATCTACTTATGTGCACTGTGAACAGCACCCCCTCCCTTCAACGTATGATCCCTATGCAATCCACAGCCTGTTCAACCACATGGGACAGACTTGTTTTCTACGGAGAAACAAGAGGGGGATGCTGGTCTCATAGTTGGTGTAGACAGCATTTTCAGCTATTTTAAAAAAATTTTTTAATGTTTATTTATTTTCGGGGGGTGGGGGGAGGGCAGGAGGGAGAAGCAGAGAGAGAGGGAGACAGAATGAAAATCAGTCTCCAGGCTCTGAGCTGTCAGCACAGAGTCTGATGCAGGACTTGTACCCATGGGCCAAAGTCAGATGCCCAATCAACTGAGCCACCCAGGTGTCCCTCAGCTATTCTTTTAACTGTGAAGAATATTGAGCTTATTTCACAAAAGAAATCCAAGTCCAATGAGCTTGCTGTTGCTACCCAGCTAGACACTGGATTAACCAAGATTAGAATCCAGATTTCAAATCAGTGCTGCCTGACGAAACTATAAATCAAGTCACATATCTAATTTAAAATCTTCTAGTGGCCAATAAAATTGAAAGGCAAAATTCATTTTAATGGTATGATCTATTAAAGCCAATATCCAAAAATATTATCATTTCAACATGTAATTTATACTAAAAGATTTGTGATGAGGTATTTGCCATTTTTCACATTCAGTTTTTGAAATCCAGTGAGACATCTCCAGTGCTTATGGGCCACTGCACTGCCCATTGCTGTATTAGACAGTTCAGACCCACACCTTCAGCTGGGAACTATTCTCTTCATTGGCCTTGCTGTATGAATGATTTATTCTCATTCCCTCTTGGCTTCACCACATTGTGTAGTTCTTTTAAAAACCTTTCTATATAAAACTAGTCTTTTGACTAGAGTGTGCTTGCCAGGGTTTTGGTGAGCCCCACAACACTAGAGGGTATATTCAAGGCAAGGACAGCCTTTCCTGTCCTTTGGGGACAGTACCAAAACCAGTGTTGACTGTCCAGTCCACATGCCCAGGGTGCCCCAAAGGCATGCCCACCAGCTCACCTGCCATGTTTGGCAGGAGCCCGGATACCTCTCAGATATGTGCACACCAGACTCCTCGGGGCCACCAGATCAGTGCTCAGGCCTCCTTACCGCCTGTCTCATCAGGTCCGGAGAAGTGTTATTCTCACACTCAGAAGTGTGGAAGAGGTCTCAGTAACAGCCACTGCTGCTGTGCTCTCAGCCAGCAAAGCTCAAGTCCCCTTGAGATCAACAGAGTTCCCAGGCACGAAGAGAAATGGTTGTTCTGTGTTTTGCGTCCATGTCTGTTTGCAAATCCCTTAGGTCTTGGCCTGCTCCCTTCCACCTTGCAGCCTGGTTAGGAGAGGTAGCTGGGTCTCATCAGGAGGCAGAAGTAGGTGTACAAACCCACCCTCTTACTTGAACACTCTCCCTGGAAGACTCTATCCTGCAGGCCTTAAACAGGGGATGGACTTGGAAAGGGAAGGACAATAATAGTTCTGTAAACATTTCTGGTTCTTTGACAAAAAATTCTCTCTGTCTGGTTTGCAAAACAAAGGGCTAACTTCAGTCTGACTCATGACAGTAGAGCCAAACTAGTAGAAATCTACACCGAGAAAGATACTGTTTGCAGTCTTGACCTCCTAAGCATGTTGCTAAGGAAAACCAGCGCTCGACCTACTCTCCACATTCCCAGCCTGTTAGACATTTATCAGGTATTTTATCTTCACTCAAGGTTTACTCTCTACTAACAATTCTTCTCCATCAGCAAACAAGAGTGAGTCCAGGAGACACCCAGAGGGACCCTCTTGATGAAAGGTACCTTTGAAGGAAGCCCCACTCCCAGAAGAAATGCAGCAGATATGTCCACTTAGCTCTGGCAGCAGAAATGCACTGGCCTACACCAGCCTGTATCCAGCTAGGCTCAGGGCTGGGCACAGACGACTCACAGCATGGGGGTGCTGTTCATGCTGTGCTCCCAAGTAGGAAGTGAAATGGACTTTGTGGGCTTAAGTGAGCATATGTTCATAGGTACAGCAGCAATCGTCAGCATCAAACCCTGGTAGAGAAATACTATATATTGTTCTTCCACATGTCATGTGTGATTTTCATTTCTCACCTCTCAAACAAAGCAAAAAAAAACAAAAAAAAAAACACTGGTCTGAAAAAAATCCCTTCTGTATTCCCAGTTGAATTTCTCCTATTTTATAGTAAAGAGCAAAAATCCAGTTGTGGTTTCTAGTGGAAGAGCCAAGACAGTGGCTGTTCACCTGAACCTGTCTGGTGTGCTCCAAGCTGGTCAAGTGTGCTGGGGCTAGGGCCTGGCACCCTCGTGCTGCCCCCCCTCCCCCGCCAGGGCCACAACTGAGCAGATGTCACCAACTTTGAAAACACAACACTTGGCCTCAGGTCTGTTTCTGGGGTAACCCCATCACAGATGTGCATATGTCTAATTATGGTGAAAGGATTTTTTAAGAGTAATTTGCAGTATTCTCCAGGTTGTTTCTGTTAGTGAATTTTCCTTTGAAAAAGATGGAGCTCCCAGCCCTGCTGTCCACAGAGACCATAGCACCTACATGTTTTCACAGTGCTGAGTTGTTCTAGAATTTGATCCAGGCCCTTCCAAGCATGTGCACAAGAGAGAACACCATGGCTTATGGGGCTCCTGGTGCCTGAGATAGGGGCAGGGTGATTCTCTCCTAGGAACATGGGAGATTTATTCCCAGGTGTCCCCACATGTAGGGTACAAAGAGGCCCCGAACCTGGCTCGTGTGTGCTGACTGCTGTGCAGAGATCCCTGGGCAGCTGGCCCTTTGCTAGTTCTACCCTCTGGGATTGGGCTTCTCAGCCCTGCTGCAGGCAGGCCTTGAACATCAGCCCTGCTTGGCCTACTGTTGAGCTGAGGCCTCCAGAGAGACTCAAGTGCTGCCAGGGTGGGGACTCTTTCTATAGACTGGATCCTGAGCCAGAGTTCCTCTCTGGGCCCAGGGCTTTTGTCACAGTGTGCATCCTCCAGCCTCTCTCTCAGAGCCTCTTCCTGACCATCTTCCTGGTATTATGGCTTCCTACAGGGGCTGTCCTGTGGCTGGGCTGCCAGATAACAGCAGCTCCATCCTCCTGGAGAGCTTCCCACTTCCTACAGTGGTGCCCAGTCCAGCAGTGTGCCCTTATGCCACAGCCCTGGAGCCCACAGTGCTAAAGACTGGAGTGCTCCCTGACACTTGCGTCAAACGGTAGACAGAGGACAGGCCTGAGATGAGGGAATTCTGATCTAAGGATTCATTCAGAGCTCTGGACAGCACTAGGAACTCTTCCAAGCACCTTGGGCCATTTGGGCTGACCAGGGATCTGTTCTGCCATAGGACAGATCTACCAGGGATGGCCCTGCATGAAGAGTGTCCCCCCTCCAAGAAGACCTGAGAAGGATGTATACTGTGAAATCACAGGGTACCCCAAGATGGATGGATTCCTTCCTAGTCTCCCAGGTTGGAAACAGTAGAGGCAGCCAGGCCATGGGGGAAACCTTAGGACACAGAGAAGACCCCAAGACATGAGAAAGACCCTAGCATATGGAAGTCATAAAGGTTACGATCATCTGGGGAGTGTCATTGGAGGTCTTCCCATGCAAAGACCTGGGTCTAGTATTTCTGAAGAAGGGACTGGATACAACTTGAGGAGTCATCTTTTGGTGCCCACAGATCACAGAGTGGAAAGAAAATCTTGGGAGAATTTTAAGAATGATGTATAATATTTCAGTTAACCCCTTTTCATTTAAAAAAAAATCCCTTTTTGTGGTTGAAACAACCATCAAATATCACCTATCATGTCCATCCATGACTGTTTTCTATTTCTGAGGCCTCATGAACACTTGGCACCAGATAATATGGATCAGTTATCCCTACGGGTTGACTCTGGGGGAAAGTCATCTATCTGGAGGCATAGAGGCACAGTCAGTGACTAGCAGCAATGATGTGTTGAGGAAGGAAGTGGAAGATTTTGGCCCTCCTGAAGCCGTGAAACTTTCCCTGGCCACCTGGCTAGAAGTCACTCACTCACCCCTCTCTCTTTGGTGTATTCACCCCTCTCTCTTCGGTGTATTACAAGGAAGATTTGTGTGGCCCAGCCAGAGTGCCGGGTCCTGAGGGTCTATAGCAAAGGAAGATTCCACCCCAGCCTGAAGGAACACCGAGTCTAGTACCAAGATGCAGACTGGGAAACAGACAACTGCAATAGAGTATGATAGGTCTGGGGACAGGGAAGCTTCCTGGAGGAGTTCTGCCTGACAGGTAGAAGGACCTTCTAATCTGAGGGATGTGGTCCAAGGGTGAGGAGCCCAGGAGCAGGTGGGAGATAGCAAGACAGCTCTGGAAGGGCCTTGAGATCAGTTAGGCACTGCTCAGCATATTGAGGAGTCTGGTATTAGGCAAGAAGATAGGGTTTAAGATTTAATCAAAGGAGGTTAGCTGTGTTCCTTCCCTTCTCTGAGTTGTGAGCCCCTCAGTCTTTTTCTTCCTACTCAGGTAACTGAATCCCACTTTGTGACAGCCCCTCTAACTGGTGCCATATGTCCATTTAATACTATCCTTGGTGTCAGCGTACCCTTGTGATCACTGGCTACAGCAGTATCTTTCAAACCACATGT